GAATTCATCGGTGGCATCAAGCTGGAACTCGAGCGATTTGCGCACCAGCAACAGAATCTGGACAGCAACGCCGTCGAGGATGAATCCAATATCCATCCTGCTCTTCGCAAAAACAACAACCAGGTATTCCACGTACCGCTCGTCAGTCCAACCGGCGGAACAGATCAGCGTCGATATCCGCCCATTACTAGAGGAAATAACAACAATAACAACCATCATCAGAAGACAGCCTCTCGTGTGATCCCCCCCACGGCGTCCGCTCTTCATGATGCCAGCAGAATCGACAAGTGGCGAACCAGGGTCGGTCTCAAAGTGGGTGCGGGTTCGCGGCCACAATCGGTGGCAAGTCACGACGAAGAATTGCAACTCCGCGGGCCGCAAGACCAGTCTATTGGATACGTGCAGCCGGAGGAACACGTCCCTTCGGCTCTCAGGCAACCCAGAGAGCAGCTCAAGTCACCGACTAGTCCCGTGTCGTCGTCCACGCCGGCGCATGTTGCATTTGCTGTGGGATATTCGACAACCACGACCACGGCCCCGCCCTCGCCCTCGGTGGCCGCTCTTGCTCCGCCTGCCCAGGCTGGTGAGTCGGAAAAGCAGTCTGAGAGTCGACGACAACCACGGAAGCACAGTAACAATGAGTCTGTTTCGTCCACCTCATCTGCCGTGACCGGATACAAGACGGCTCCTTCTTCACCTCCTCCGCCAGAGCCTCCCCAGCGAAGCGCGAGGCGACACTCGGTCGTGAGTTCGGTTGAGTCAATCCCACCAGTACCGGTACTGACTCAACAACAACAACAACAACAACAACAACAACAACATCAACAACAACATCAACATCAATACCAGTCTGATGCTCACGCCTCTACTACGAGAGACGACAAGTCACCACCTCCTGCCCAGCGTTCATTTCCTCTCTACGCGAAGGGGGGTAATCCCAACGGCAGGCACTCCAGATGTGAGTGGATCGGAGGAGCAGCTTACTCTCCTCCTGCTGCAGGTCAGATGTCTCCATATCTGTCGTCGCCCACGAAAAATGCACATGGGCCGACAAGTTCCTCGGAAGACTCGTGCGATGAAGGCTTCCAGTCTGCCTCGTCTATCAGCACGCCTGCAACCTCTCGGCCGCAGTCCGAGCGAGAGATGCCCCTGACATGCAGTCAGGATGACACAGTCCCTTCCTCGGTCCACGACGCAGTCAGGGCTTGTTTTGGCACGACGTACCCACTGCCGAGTGCAGACAATTCCGAAGATGAAGGGGGAATCGACCCCATCCAAGCTGCCGCCGAGAAAGTCCTTGCCGTCTTTAATGGAATCCCCGTGCAGAGGCCTGATGGTCGCCGCCGACGCGACTCGCCTACAAGCTTGGCTATGGATACGAGCTTTGACCCGTCTGCCACAGAGCGGCCTCTCAACCTCTGTCCCCAAAACAAGCCCACGGCGGCCCCTCTTTCTTCTTTTTCGTCTTCTCCCTTTTCTTCTTCTTCTTCTTCTTCTCCTCCTCCCTCTCCTTCGCCGGCCGGTTACCTCGAACAAGCCCGCAAACAGCCACCAGCGGCTGCGCCAACCCGCGCGCACAAGCAGCGCTTCGGTCCTCCGGCCTCCTTTGTACTCCCAGCCGACTGCTCAAATGCTGCAAATCATGCGAATGAAAAGTCCAGGCCTGTATTGGCAATGTCTCACCCAGTCCGCCGTCGTCATCTCCGCCACAAGTCCACGCCTCACCTAGCGACCACGGACCGAGACCCCATTGCCAGGATCTTTGTCGAATGCTGCTCGTGCACGCGCTATCACGACATGCCCAGCAATTTGTACAAAGCAATGACCAATCCGGAAGGTGTTTTGAGCCCCGCCGACAAGTGCGAGTATGCTGGCGCGTTATCCATGACGGTGCGATGTTCCTGGTGCAAGCATGAGATGAGCGTCCGGTGTTGCTCCGCATTCTCGACCAAGGTGTACATTCAAGAACGGCTGCATTCGAGCCGTTTGAATGGCCTATGACGCATGGAGCTATTCAGTTAACTGTGGCACATGAAGTTATTCAGTCAACTTATGACGCAAGAAACTTTATGGCGTGTGACAAGCTATTCGGTATACATTTTTTTCTTTTCATGGGTAAGATGATGATGATGGACTCTCATTACCAGAATATTCAGCATTTTCTTTTCTAATGGGCAGAAGTGATGATGTCGGACTCTCGTTACCAGAATATGCAGCATTAGGCAGCATATATTTTCTTTTGTCCAATTTTTTTCTGTGGTCTTTTCGTTATTTTTTGCCTTTGTCTCTCTCTCTCTCTCTCTCTCTTTTTCTTTTTTTTTCATCTTGTCTCTTTTTCATCTTCATCTTGTCTTTCTTTCTTTCAATCTTTGTTTTGTATCCCTTGATGACCTTGGCGACGGTTTACGATGTAATGACTTCATGTGCCAGATATTTAGCGTTAGGTCCTTGATGTTTATACCCAGGTCGGTTCGGTACCGCGGAGTCGGGACCTGTTGAAAAATGTACATGTGTTCGTTGATGCGGCGCTGTCGTTCTGGCGGTGTGAATGCGTGTATGTAAATCAGACATGACTTGGTTATTGGAGATTATTGGAGGACTGAGGCACGACGAGCTCCGCGGCCTGCGGCCGTGTTGGTGACGGGGAATAAACCGGCGTATTTTCTCTTCCTGTTTTTCTTCGAGACACTTGTTGCAAGGGGCGTGACTGCAGTCTGTATGCACCCTTGGCTTAATAGCTTGGTCAATGGCTTAGTTGGCAAAGGTTGATGGCGATACCTTTGGCAGGGCCAAAAATATTTGTCATGTCATTGATTGTATGGAAAATGTGGTCTTACAATAGAGATCAAACAGCGTGCACGTAAGGACGAATATCTGCCTAGGTAGATAGGTACCTCTGCGCGCCACGCCTGCTCCCGGTGACAGCCCGCGAGAGATGAGTCATATTCCGAGCAACTAGACGTATGATAACATATTATGAAACACAGAATCGCTATAAAACTTGGGCGGAGGCTATCACTACGAAACAGGTCCGCGCAGCTGGGAACCGGAGTAGGTCAAGTACCTACTTACCTACCTACGAGTAGGCAAAGCAGGGAAGTATTCTGAGAGAGCGGATTGGCCTGCGTTTTGCATGGGTGGCAAAGCGCACGGAAGGCGTGAGAAGCACAGCCTTCCGCTTTACCTGTTTTGTTGTAATTCTGCAATAAACTGAATAGAGCTGTTCGGTAGAGGAGGATAGTAGTAAAAGTATTTAGCTAGATAAAGTATTTAGCTAGATACTCCTCTTTTAGTAGCTAAGTTGTGAATGGGAAAAGGGAGAAAAGTGTTATAAAGCTCTATTTTATACAAGTGTAGTATGGAAAGACGTTTCACATACAGAAATTAGGCTGTGAGTCTGCTGGTATGCAAATGAATGAGCGCAAAGGGTGTGCAGCGCCTAGCGGGAGAGGAAAAAAACAGCTTATGGAGAAGCTTATGGCATGAGGAAAAACAGCTTGCAGAGAAGTTCACCAAAAGAGGGAGCAGAAAACAGAAAAGAAAGTTCAGCTTGCGAAGACGCTGACGAAAAAGAAAAGAAAAGAAAAAGGAAAAAAAGAAAAAAAAAAAGGAAGCGGAGAAGAAGCGAGGACTAGGGCATCTGAAGCTCTTACTGCGCCTAGGATGACGATAAATCCGGCTGGCATAGAGTGTTATTATGCGCATTCTGCAGTAAGTGACTGGCTTGGATTGTTCACTACATGGTGGGTGGCACAGTGGCCTTATATTCATGGCAGCCCCTATGTCCTTGTATCGTGCTCCTTGTACCATATCCCCCCTGTCTACACCCGTGCATGAGATCGCTTACTCTAACATAAGGCTGTAGTATGGGGTTGTGTTCTTGCGGTAAGAGGTGAATGTAGATACAACTTACACGGAAGAAGTAGTATAGCAGGGGAATAGTAGGACCAGTAACAGAAACCCATCATGCATCCATACAAGTAAAGAAAGACCTGACCTAATCAGGAAAAGCTCCGCTTTGACTGAAGGAACGTAAGTATTGTGCGCAAAGGCAGGCAAGCTAAGGAGGAGCGCAGCTTCCCGCTTTATATATCTAAAGTGAGGCCATCCGATAGAGATGCTTGTTATGTTTGGATATTATTAGTTATTTAGAAACTGCACTCTTTAGCAACTAGTTACTAGAAATCTAATATATTCGATGTTCTACAGGAGCAACGTATTGTCGAAATACTTCGGTCTATACGTGGGGGGGGGGGGGGGGGTGCTGCTACTTATAGCAGCGCACTAGAAAAAACACTAGCAGCCAGCAAAGAGTTTGAAGAAAAAGAGGAGAAAAAACAGCTTATAAAGAGGGAGAGAAGAAAAACGTGTAGCAAAGAAGGTAATAAAAAAGTTATAAAGAAGAAGCTAGTAAAAAAGAAAGAAATATCGAGTAAAGAAAGTTATAAAGAAGAAGCTAGTAAAAAAGAAAGAAATATCGAGTAAAGAAGGTGATAAAACAAACAGCTTATAAAGAAGCTAGCGAAAAAGAAAACCAGCTAGTGGAGAAAGCCATAAAAAAAAAAAGGAAAAAATGAACATGTTAATAGAAGGGGATTCGTGTTTAGCTCAAGGAGTCCGACGCTTTGGCTGCGTCCATGATGACGATAAATTCGGGCAGTCACAAGGGTCTAGTATGAATAAATGACCCTTCGAAAGAAGCACCAACAGCCCACTGCTCCATCCCGGCCATGACATGCCTAGGCATAAGGAAAAGTAAAGAAAAAAGGCCATGAATATAGCCCTTTCAGGAACCAAGATTACTCCCACCGCATCATTCCAGCAATTCAATATCATCCAAAAAGTCATCCCAATCACGTCCTCATCCCCGCACAACTTTGAATCCCCAACGCACAAGTGACCCGGTCCTCGCCGTCACAGCTCAGCACCTTGCATTGCAACTAGTCGAGTACGAGCCTGCAAGTATCTTGTATAGAGCTAACGCACGCTCAGTCATTCAAGGCACTTTGGCCGAGTGGTCTAAGGCGCCGTGTTCAGGTTGTCAGCCGCCCAGCGCAGCTGTCCCTCTTCGCGGTCTAGTAATAGGCGAGGGTTCGAATCCCTCAGGTGTCATTTCTTTTTCCCACTTCATTTTTTGCCACCGGAGCCCCTTGGTGCCAATCAATCGACGTGGTGCACTCGCGCGCATTGCATTTTATCCTTTCCGGTGGCAAATTGACGGCGCAGAGATGGTGTCTCAGTGTTGGCGGGGTTGACGTGTCCTTGTGATGGATGGTTTCAGTCGCTTGGAGTTTTGGTAGGGCTGTACGGAGAAATGAGAGGGTTGGAACGTTGGGGCGGGGGGGCGGGGGCGGGGCGGAGTGAATCGGGGTTCGTGCGCGAGTCGGCAGTCGGCAGTCGGCACCACGTGGATGGTGCATGTGACGGCCCATGTGTGTGAAGGTTAATTTGGGTTTTTTTTTCTTTTTTCCTTTCCTTTCCTTTTCCCTCTTTCCCTATTATCTCTCCTTTTCTATTCTATCTTGTCTCATTTCTAGTGGGGTGTATCAATGAATTAAACTTATTCACTATTTCGTTTTTCCAAGGAAAACAATCCGAAAAAAAAAAGGTTTGATATAGATGAAAAAAAAAATACATTTCTTTCTTCATTTTATTCCATTCGTATACGTTGTTTTTTGGAAAGAAAATCACCAAGTTCTCGAGTCACTCGTCTTGAGCATCGCCCGTTGATCTCTGCGGACCAACTTGCCATCTCTCGCCCCGTGACAGGGCATGAATTCCCCATCTGCCCATGCTCTGGCCATGTCTAGACGTTTCAGAACAGGATGATTTCCCCAGTGTCCCGTTTTGATCACCAACCCGTACCGGAATAGTCCACGATGCCTAATTTCCCTGGAGAGATCCTCCAGTTTAGACGTCCCAACGTATAGGGATGCGACAAAAACGCTTGAAACCATTTATTCGAAGAAGCATGCTAGCTGTGCTACAAACATTTCAACACATTGCTCAGATAACCCCCCCCCCCCCCTCACCGCTGGTCACCGCGTAAAATACTGCTCCTGCGCACTGATGGAATGTCTCCTCCACTTGCTGTCCTGGGGGTACTTGTGCTCCACGACGGGCGGGCCGAGATACTGGCTCAGGACCGAGGGCGGCGAATGGGCCGCGTCGCGGACGTTGTGGTTTGGGCAGGGGGAGGGGGGATCACTGGTGGTATATTGTCAGTCATCTTGTCATGGTTTTTTTTTTTTTTT